AGGGGGGGGGGGGGGAAGCAGTTTTCCTGGCTTTCCTGTGTTGTTAGACAGCACCGTTTCTGATTTCATGGCAACGCTACGAATTAATGGCCTCTCAAAAGCTTGATCATGCCCAAACCAATTCCTCGTTCCCTGAGCAAGAAAAAGAACCTGGCCAAACCTCAGAAAAGTTACCTTTATGGATTCCAGCCCCCAAAGTGGTCCAGCTGGACAGCCGCTGGGCCATGCTGCCCAGGAGGGCCCAGGAATCAGAGCTGAGAAAGCGAACTGGCCCATGTTCTGGGACCTCTACCTCTCATGGTCCCCAGGTAGGAGTGTCATCCTTGGAGCCGCTGGCTTTTAGGACTCTGGTGATGAAGGAGGCCACTAAACCATGGAGGGGGTGGGTGGATGGTGGTGGAGAGGAACATGGAGCAACCACCAGCAACGGCCAGTATCCCTGAGCCCTGACCCTCCTCTGCCCCCTCTTAGGGCCATCCACCCCCACCCCCTCCCTTTGGACTGCCCTGGCAGCCGGTCACTCACCTCCGCGTGAGCTTCGAGGTGAGCTTGCTGAAGAGGTTGGAGGTGGCTCGGCTGCGGCTCTGGGGCAGCGGCGTGGCTTCGTGGGAGAGGGTCGGGGAGGTGGGCGGCCCGTTCTGCACGCCGGTCCCACGCCGGTCCCGCACTTGGCCCCCGTGGAAGGTGCTGCGGATGTTGGTGCCGCGGGAAAGGCGGGTGCGGTCGGAAGAGGTGGAGGACGTAGCGATGCTGTGGCTGGAGGGCGAGGCAGGCGGCACCCGACTGGTGACGGAGCTGTTTGGAGGGGGGGCAGACGGAGGCCAAGAGAAGAGATTGTGAGACCGAGGAGGAGGAAGTGGCCTTCCTGGGGCTTAATTCACACCATGGAACAGAGAAAGACCCATGGGATGATGCTGGCACAGACAAGGTCTGATGCTGGCTCAGAATACATTCCCCCCCCCCAAAGTCCCAGTCTTGTCCTACAGGCTTGCATGGGTGGCTTTTGCCTGAAAGCGCTTTGCTTCTTTCTCTTTAAAATGAACTTGGTTCCCATTCAAAAAGGTTGAAATGCCCCACCTGAGGTTGAGCAGCAGACCACTTTTATCTATCCCTCCCTCCCACTCCTTGTGCACAAACAGAATTTTAAACAAACAAACTAATAAAGAAACAAAACAGAGATCACAGCAGTAAGAGCTCCAAGATGAAATAGGCTGGCATTTTTAAAATCCATTCCTTTTGCCTCCAGCTTAACTACCGTGTTCCCCACAGCCCCTGAAACCTTAGAAACCAAATCCAGCCTGAATTCAGGCTCTGAACTATACAAGTGGTCTTCTCTGAGCATGTGCAGAGAGCATCTTTCTCTAGCCACCTGCAAGCCAGAGTTAAGCAATGCCTGTGTGTTGCTACGAGTACGAGCTTCTGCCGCTCCGACCTCGGGACTTTTCACTGGAATAGCCATTGACTAGAGAGGGACGCCTTTCGCCTGTTTCGCCCTCGGGTGGGCTGCTTTGCAGATGCCCTTCTGCTCTTCCTTGACCCTCTTGGGATTTTTGTGTCCTTTCCAGAGTCCATTTTCTGGGCTGCGGAGGTGGAGCCGCGCCCTCGCGGGAGCGAAAGGAGAGGGCGGGGGCGGCGGGGGGGGGGGCTGTCTTTCCTTTTACAGAGTGCCCTGGATTCTCTCTCTCTGCCAGTCACATGCGTGGCCCTGACGTCTCCCGAGGGCCAAGGCCGTGGCGCTGAGCTGCCACCAGGCTAGTGGAAACTGGGCACAGCGCCAGCGGCCGGCCAAAGTCTGTGGGAAGGACAGGAAGAGGGGAGCTGTGGCCAAGTCTGCAGGTCTCCCTGCCCAGCAGGATATGGGGGTGGGGGGAAGCAAAGAAAGGGGAAGCCACCAAACCACCTCCATTTGTAACAACAAACAAGAAGAACTTGAGAATGGACTTTTAAAAATGTATTCATTTCATTTAACTGGCTCACACCCTGCCTTCGCCTCCAGTGAACTCTAGACAGTCTACCTGGGCTCTCCTGCTCTGCATTTTCTCTTCACTCTCTAACCCATT